ACGTTGAAAAAAAAAATAAAAAATAAATAAATAAATAAAAATAATACTGGGGCGCCTGGGTGGCTCAGTTGGTTGAGCAACCTACTTCGGCTCGGGTCATGATCTGGAGGTTTGTGAGTTTGAGCGCCGCCTGTGCTGACAGCTCAGAGCCTGGAGCCTGCTTCAGATTCTGTGTCTCCCCCTCTCTCTCTCTGCGCCTCCCCCACTGACATTCTGTCTCTCTCTCCTTCAAAAATAAATAAACATTAATAATAATAATAACCACAAAAACTTGTATTCTTCAGCGGCAAACACTTATTCAGCATCCCCTATTGAGTTTTTTGGTTGGTTAAGTCTTCAATGTTAAATATACTTTAATAGTATTGGTGCTCAACAGAATAACAGTATTGGTGCTCCGACGGAAAGCTGGTTGGTTTGCAATTCAACCTCTCTGCAAAATCCTCAGTGGAGCAATAGTAGAGCTTAAGCCACTTTACCCAACTAGTGTCAGCTATTTCTGATGACAAGAGTACCAGCAGGGTGGGGCAAGCTTACAGTCAGATTAATAAGAAGTTTAATCCTCTACTTCCCCCATATTAATATAATGCAGCAGTTTCTCTTTCCACAGGGTACAATTAATAATCATTTCTCATTCAAGCAGCTGAGACACAACACTACCATTAGGCGGTGTTTCTCCAACAGCTGAGTCATCCCTTTCAATTTGGTGTCAATTAGGCTAATTAGCAGTTAGCAGCTCAGACTGCCCTTCAATCATTGGGAAATAGCTATCCACACAAGTGTCAGGCCCTCACTCTAAGATTTTTCTCACATACTGATGATATATGGCTTGGCTGCTAAGACAGAAGCTACAGGCTAAAAAGAAAATATTTGATTGGCCACAATGCTTGTCTGCCCACTGTCACAAAATAGAGCTTTTGTGACCACCCACCATTTCTACATTTTTCTGTCAGCCACAGCAGTTGGGGCACAATTTATTGGCCAGTGATACAACCGAATCCTGGTATCTTTTCATCTCACCATCTAGGTGGTCGGGGTGTGCTTCCCCCGGAGGGCATATGTACCTGTTAAAACACTATTTCTTTTGGCTCTGGTTCTAAACCCAGGCAAAGGGGATTAGAAACCTGGCTTTTAATTGTGCTTGCCTTTTTCTTTTGCGAATGGCAATCATTCTGTAGCACCTTTTGTGATAGGAAAATGAACACTGGATTAAAGCATATTTTTGATTCCTCACCAACCATTCTAGTCAGCCAGGCACCTTGCTTAAGCCAGTGGGTGTGCTTATCCCGCAGCTCAGCTTTGGCAGCAGGCAAACTTTGAGCGATTTCAAAGCAAATCTGGTTTCTACTCCTAAAGAAGACACTGGGAACAAGTTTACAGAGATAATTCAAAGAATTATTTAGCACTGTTCATTTAGTTATCAAATAAAATCTTGAAAGTTTTGGCAGATTGATTTCCTACATGAGATTTTAATAGCCATTCATACATAAACAAAGAGCCTACATAAATTGTGGGAAAACGTAAAGTCGGTTGTTCTACAAATTAAATCTTAATTTGAAAAATATCTTTTTAAAACTAAAGTTGTGTTACAACTTTTAAAAACTGTTATATATACTGACATATCTTTTAGTGTGCCTCATATTAAAAATTTTAATTTAAGCAATTCCATATATATGTCCTATCTTAATAGTTCAGATGTTTAAGAAAAGTTGCCTTATTCTATTAGTTATATTATCTACCTTTTGATTTTAGGAAATTGAATTCTACTATTAAGATTATATATGAATATACTTTTGGATATGTTAATTCAAAAAAGATTTCCAAGAGTCAATACAAAATTAGAGAATGTTTCAACTAAATATTTATAATGATATAATAAAATATCTAATGAATCTCATGTCAGATTTTATATAAAACAATCTTCAAAATAAATAACGGAAATGAAAAATACACATAGTTTAAACTTACCTGTGATGCAAGTTAAATATAATCTATACTTTTACTTTATAAGTGATATATTTTTATTTTATTTACATGCTTAGAGTCTATATAATATGTAAAATATACATATTATATGATGTCCAGTTATACATGAAGTCCTTAAATATGCATTTAAATTTACACTATATGAACAAATTTTAAAAAAAGAACTTAAAACACTCAGATATTTAAAAATGTGGCATCAATGATAGTCATAGGGAAATGTGAACAGCAAACTTGATAAATGAAAAGATCCATTTGACTAAACATTGGCTCAGCAAATTAAATAATATAACTTGAACCATGATATAATTTTAAAACATTTTTTAAAAGGTATTATGGGTAATTTTCATTTTTAAATTAATCATCTGAAGACATAAATATTGCATGATTTTTTTATCTTAGCACTCTTAATACTTTAAAATATTAAAATATTAGTGCTGTGTAATTTGAACTCATATAAAATAGGTATAAGCAGCATAGCCTTACAATTGAATAGGCAGCACCAGATGGAAATATCTTTGTACATATAGCAAGTTATGGATCAGAAACTTGTAAGTTTTCTCTCCATTTTGGAATTTTTTTCCCTTAAATACAAAATGATGCTTTGAAGAAATTTTCTTAAGCAGCAAGAATTATATAAAAACTATGGAGCACAGTATGTGAAGCAAATTTTTAAAATATGTTCTATATAGAAAGTAAGTTTACTTCTAAAACATGGAAATTGGGGGGGGGGAATAGTTTCTAGTACTCTGCTATTTACTCCGCTAAAAAATTTCAAAGCTCCAATATTTTCTCTTTCATAGTGTTTCAATAGCAGGCAATGAATACTTCCAAACTGAGGACTTTGCCAACAAAAACAATCCAAAACAGTATAATACTGAAAAACACAATCTCTTTTTGATACTTGAAAGATAATCTTTTCCACATAGCTCTTTCAATCACTTGTTAAGTAAATAAATTTTAGACCAGTAATAACACAATTTACTATGATAGACATCAATGTGAAAAATTACATTCCTTAGAATGCATACTATTTTCCAAATAGTTTTCAAAATATTGACCAGTGAGAGAAAACAATGAAATAGAATCAGAATCTGAGAAAAGAGGTTAGAATAAAGTAGGAAAATTGCAATTTAAAAATAAGATCAGGAATCAGACACAGAAAGAGTAATGTTTAAGTCAATATATATATAATAAGGAATATGAATTTTTGTGGCTTAAAAAAATCAACCTAGTTCTTTTTTTCAACCATCTATTTACTTCTTCTGTATGAAAACGTACAACCTGTACTGTCCAATATGGTAGCCCCTGGACACATGTGGCTGCTAAGCATTTCAAAACGTAACTAGCACAAAATGAGATGTCCTTTCAGTGTAAAATGTACACTGGATTTCAGAGACATTTTATATTGTTTACTGTTGAAATGATAATGTGTTGGATATATTGTGCTAAATAATATATAAGTAAAATTTTTGTCACCTGTTTCTTTTTGCTTTTGTTAATATGGCCACCAGAAAATGCAAAATTATATTTCTTGCATTATATTTTTAATGGACAGCACATGTACAGGCTGAATATACATGGTACTCAATAATCAGTGACTTCAATCAAAATTTTGATATGATTTCTTTTTTCCTGAAGTGCGTAGCAGATACCCTAAGCAAGTTAGTTGCCTATTTTGACCAACATGACCAAACTTAGCCAAAAGAAAAACATAAGTGAAGAAAATCCAAGTGCAAAAACATAAAGCATGGAAAAGTTATATAAAAATAGATATAATACTAAGTGAAATAAGTCAGTCAGAGAAAGGCAAATGTTATATTTCACTCGTGTTATTCTATTTTCTACTGGTCAAATCACGCAAAGAGCCAGGTCAATCAGATTCATCCAACTAGGGAATACTTCTCATTCCTGTTACCCTCTCGTATATATTGGTCATGTATTATAATAAGTAATTGCTAGAATATTAAATTCAAAAGCCTAAGAGTGATAATGTACACTAGGCTTATCCATACAAAATATCTCTATAAAACTTAGAAATTTAACTACAAATTAATTATTTTAAAATATAATATATGCATTCGATCAACATTTAGTAGAATAGTTATTTTATTGGCAAGTATATTTGAGTATAATTACATCAAAATAGATAACTTGAAAGCTGAAGATTTTAATCCATCAACCAGCTGTCTTATTATACAATCATAGTCCATAGAGTGGCTGTATTCAAAGAAGAGACTGAAACTGACTGATATTAAATAACATGGGGAAAGAAATGGCAACTAGAACTGAAAAATCCCACAGCTACATCAGAAACAAAACAAAGTTATACTGCCTATACTAAGCTTCCATTTTACAGCAGCCTCCTTCTCTCACACTCTGTTTCCAGTAGATGTGTCACTTAAAGTTCTGTTCACATGGAATTTGATGAAATCCCCAGCAGACCACAAGATTGGTAAACCTGTTCTAACTGCTCTTACAATATCATGGAACAGAGCTTGAATTACCAATCCACCAGAGAATGCTAATGCAATTATGAGTGTTTACTTACACCATGTGTTTCTCACTGAGCCTCCCCCGCTGTGTCAGGATAAACCAAAGGGAGCTAATGTTTTATAGATGGTAAGACTCTGTTTGTTTTCAGTAGGGCTAAGTCTCCCAAAGCACTCAGACACACTAATTAAAGTAAACTGCAGAGGCCCATAATAAAATATATGTGTTTGGAGACTGTGAGATGAACCCTACTGGCTTATTAAAAGTCAAAAGAAAAATATACATTATTTATGACTTCAAAGGGACACATTGTGAGCTCCAGTTTATTTAAAGGATTAACAAAGCAGTGGTTATTGGTGACCATCTGAACAGTTCTTCTTTCACAGTTCATTAGTTCTGTCATATATGTGAGAAGTCATCATTTGGGTTCAAATCAAATATTATTAATCAAATAAATTACAGAGGGTACACCAACATTATTAAATGGAATCTTTGTGAAAATAGCTGCTAATAAATCTGGTACTTACTTTTTCAACAGTTGCCTAGTTGCAACAATGTGATTTAGGTTTTCAAAATATGTTATAAGTGTTAAATAATCCATTCTTCATACATTTGGCCATCCCAGAAATAGGAAGCTGTGGAATACAATTACAAAACAAGTTGCTTTGCGACTATTTTCACAAAAGTTATTCTATAGTCCCTTATCTGGAAACCTGGAAAATTCACAAGGAAGTTCATTTTCACATTTTCAACACAGACTACAACAGAAGAAAAAGTAATGGCACATGAAAGTCAAAGCCTTTGTACATTCTTCATTGATTTGAAGTATTATTAATTATTCTAAATCAAACCACATTATTGAATCAAAGGATACCTTTCAGACTCGGGTAAGTAAGTGTGAACTAAGGATGATCAAGACAAATCAGTATTGCTGCAGTTGTTTCCAAGCACATGAATAATTGCAAACTTAGCCATTATTGTAATTTCTATCAATGAAAATCTTATATTATTTAACTGAAAATTAACATGCATTAGAAGAAATCTAAAGAAAATCTAACAAGCATTTCAGAATGTAATACTAAAAGAACTTATTTCTCATATTGTTCTAGGTCACCTTGAGATTTACTTAAGTTTATACTTTAAAAATAAATAATGTCTCCCTAGAAATACAAATTAAAACCACAAAGAGATATCACTTTTTACCTGTCAGGATGCTAAAATCAAAAACATAAGAAATAACAAGTGTGGGTAAGGATGTGGAGGAAAAGGAACACTTTGCACTGTTGATGGGAATGTAAATTGGTGCAGCCACTGTGGGAAACAGTACAGAATTTCTTCAAAAATGAAAAAATAGAATTATCATATGATTCAGTAATTCCACTACTGGATAGTTACCCAAAGAAAGCAAAACACCAATATGAAAAGATATACGCATTCCTATTTTTATCATAGTATTATTTACAATAGCCAAGATATGGAAGCAACCCAAGTACCCATTAATAGATGAATGGATAAAGAAGATGGGTATGTGTGTGTGTATGTATGTGTATGTATATATGTTGTTTTATTTTACACACACACACACACACACACACACACATATACACACATACTGAAATATTACTCAGCCATAAAAAATAATGAAATCTTACCATTTGCAACAACGTGGATCAACTTAGAAGATATAATGCTAAGTGAAATTAGAGAAAAGCAAATATCATACTTTACTCAATGTGAAATTTAAGAAACAAAAAAAATAAACAAAGAAAAAAAAGAGGAAAACAAAGCAGAACAAAAGCCAGACTCAAATACAGAGAACAAATTGATGGTTTTCAGAGGGGAGGTGGGTGGGAGGATGGGTGAAATAGATAAAGGGGATTAAGAGTACACTTATGTTGATAAGTACTGAGAAGTGTATACAATTGTTGCATCATTATATTGTACACCTGAAACCATAAAAACACTGTATGTTAACTATACTTGAATAAAAAATAAAAAAGAAATAATGTCCCACTAAAATAAGAAACTGATCCTAAGAAATATCTTCTTAGGAAGGAAACAGAGCTCCCCCCAGTTTTCTCAAGATGGCAGATATGCTCCTGCAGATCTGATATTGCCTCTTGATTGATTTATTAGGGCCTTTAATCTCATTTTTTCTTTATTCTCCCTTTCTCTCTTCCCTCCCTCCCTTTTCTTTCTCTCTCTCGCCACCTGACATTTGTTTCCATCTCAAATTTGATCACAGTCATGTATTATCATGAGCTTTGGTGAAGAACACAATAAGACCTAGCAGTATAAGATGGCATTTTGAAGTTTACAGGTTACATTTCCAGGTAATGAGTAAAAGATTGCTGAGAGTTAGAACTAGTGATAGAATATATATTTTTATAATTCTTTATAAATTCACTTTAATAACCTCCACATGATGCCATTCCTTAAGCAGAAAAAAAACAACCTAAATGGAATAAACTCAGCTTTACCAAAATAGTACTTATTCAAAATTAATTTTATTTCTATAATTTATGTAGCTTCACTTCAACAAGGAGATTCATATAAGCTTAATTTTGTGGATTTCTGAACTGTTGACAGCAAAATTTATAATGTTAATATTCTAGAAAGTATTAATGTTGAAAAGAGCATGTTATTCTCACTCAGTTGTCAGATGCTTTTCTAAATGCATATTACAAAGACAAAAAAGGAACAAAATTTATTGGACTCAGGGCTACTTGTCTTATTTTTCTTTTATCTACCTCTCTATTTTTTTTTCTCCCCCAATGAGTTCCCTAAGTCTATTTTTTTGTAATGCTAAATTTAAAAGCTTCTTTGTGCCTTCACAATTCTGGAACTATGGGGCTTTTATGCTTTTTTTTTTTTTCCTTAAAAAGATATTCTATAGACTTATCCTATATGATTTCATGAACTACTACATGATGATTCTGTAAACAAAACTGAGCAAAAAAGAACCTATACATTCAGGGTGACTGGGTGGCTCAGTCAGTTAAGCATCAGAGTCTTGATTTTGGCTCATGTCATGATCTCACGGTTTAGGAGTTCGAGCCCAGCATAGGGTTCTGTGCTGACAGTACAGAGCCAGCTTGGGATTCTCTCTCTCTCCCTCCCCTGCTCACTCTCTCTCTCTCTCACTCTCTCTCTCTCTCAAAATAAACCTAAAAAAAAAAAAAAAAAGAACCTATATCTTCTTTAAAATTCATGCTCTTTTGAGCAGTAGTGGACAATTTGGTTGTAACTTGACCATGCATATGTAAACTCATACAGGTGCCTTTAGTTTTATTTCTTTGGCTAAATATTATCCTCTGCTTTTAGACCCATCTTAATTATCACTGCTTCACTGAATGAAAGTGTGCTTATTTCAGCATCAGATTGAAAATATTTTACAAGTACAATAAAGGTCCTCCATTTTCAAATTAGATTCTGCTTGAAAAGATAAAGAATAGCTACATTTCTTTAGTATTTACTGTGAGATAGTTTTGTAATTAACTCCATTTTATTCATAAGAACATTGAGATTTAGTGAGACATGGTTTTTTTGGCATCATACTACTAGTAAGCAGTAAAGCCTTGATTTTGGTACTAACACAGACCTATCTGAATCTAGAGTTAAGAGTTTAACCAATCTGATAAATTTCCTCTCTGGTAATTGGAAACCAGTCATCAGTGTAGAAGGTGAGATTCCTAGGCCTGTGATTAGTGTGAACAATGGATGACTATACCCAAAAATATTAAGTTGAAAATATTCATAGGAGCTCAAAGTATATCTTTGAAGTATTTCCATTCCCTCTATAAAATAACAACAGCAACAATATTTACAACAATAATAAATTATGTTGGAAACCAGAGACCTGACACAATGGGATGAATATGGTCACAGCATTCCTTAGAGTTTTCATTATTTTCACATTGTATGCTCTTAATTCTATCTTCTTAAGAACATTATTGTTGGGATTTATATGAACTTATATTCATTAAACAAAATAGCCATATTTGGATCCAAAATTTTGCTACTATTAATATTTGTTGCTGCCATCCCCCCAAACTACCCCTTTCAGATGGCATAAATTGTGCCTGATTTGTGCTCACACCATAAGATTCTGGTATGCATTCAACAAATGCTTATTGAACTCATACTATTCTGTAGCATCCATAACTAGTTTCACAGTCCTATATATATATAGACAGTATTTAGTATCCATATTTTAGAAAAGTTATGACCTTTTTATGAAATGAAGATGTCAAAATATAACAATACAATTACTTTAATATTAAAACCCTTAAAACACAGGGTGGCAAGAATGAATCTTTTAGATTCCAAATTAAATGCATGGTTTTTATTAATGCACTTAATCCAATATAACTTCTACTTAACTTTGAGAAAGTAGGGGAAAATGTCCAAATTGTTCTCTCATCTAGGACAATCTTAGTGACCGTTTTAAATTTACAACCCCAAATCTGAAAGTTCAAGCATTACTTTTATTCTATAAATATTTATTTAGAAATGAATTAAGGGGCGCCTGGGTGGCGCAGTCGGTTAAGCGTCCGACTTCAGCCAGGTCACGATCTCGCGGTCCGTGAGTTCGAGCCCCGCGTCAGGCTCTGGGCTGATGGCTCAGAGCCTGGAGCCTGTTTCCGGTTCTGTGTCTCCCTCTCTCCCTGCCCCTTCCCCGTTCATGCTCTGTCTCTCTCTGTCCCAAAAAAATAAATAAACGTTGAAAAAAAAAAATTTAAAAAAAAAAAAAAAAAGAAATGAATTAATATTGTCAGAGATTAGAAAAACCACTCCTTTTTCAAGTTTACAATTTACTATAGGAGCTAAGATTTAAACAGTAAAAAGGTAAATGAAATGAAGTTCCATATAACTTATTTCAATTTATATAATTATGACTAATATCTGTCTTGCCCGTGAGACAGTAAGTTCATTAGGACAGTGACCATGTCCATTTCTCCTCTTATATTATCCCCAGTACCAATGACAGTGACCAGAACACATACACATTTAAAAAATGTGCTAAATGTTTATTATTGAGTTGTAAATATATTGTCTTATAGGATGTCAGAGGGGAAAAGATTGCTTCCAGTTGGTATAATTATAGAAGACTTTCTAAAGGAAATAGTTCTTGAGTTGACCTTAGAGAATGAATAGAATTTCAGTAGGTGGGGTTAAAAATGTGTGTTTGAGTGCTGGGTAGAAGGGGATACGGTTGGAAAAGAAAGGGTATCAGGTATATAAAATAGCATAAGTAAGGATGTGGAGGACAAAATGTAAACATATTCAATTATAGCAAGGGAAGTGGCTAAAACATGGGGTTGAGAAGAAGAATTTTGCAGAGAATAAGATCAGATCAAAATTCAGACAGTCTTGAAATTCAGACTTAATATGGAATGTTTTTGAACAGGGAATGAACTAGCATTTTATGAACCTAAATCTGGCAATGGAATACAGAACAGTTATTGCATTAAAATGTTGGTAGCAGGAAATTCAGTTAAAAGACAATTGCAAAAATCTAAGTGAGATTCAAATAACACTGTGGAAATGTATCTCCTCATCAGTTTCTGCAAGATGTTTCCTTTAAATCAGCAAAATGTTTAATTTAGGGGCTAGTTTGACTTTACAGATCCTC